TGATTATCACAAATATCATGTCCAATAACCCGATTCAAATAATAGGTACTATTTATAACAATAAACAAACAGGCACAAATATGTACATATTCATAAAAAAATCAAAACCTGAAATGCAACCTTCTATTGCGTCAACCTAACGTTCCGTAAGTCGCCTGTCGTAAACTTACATTTCTGAGTTCATCCTCGCCGCTGACAAAGGGTCCATAGGAGGGCACGGAATAGAGTCTCGGCGACGGCCGGGCCACGACAGTGACTTGCTGGACGGGCCTGGCCACGGCGCCGCAGCAGTTGGGACACGAGCCCGAGAAACGCTGCACGTGCACGCACGGACATCAGCGGGGTTAACAGGCTTATGCAGCTTCAAATAGACTGTGCAGCAGGCTCTTGAGCTCCTCTTGCAGCAGAGCCCAAGAGGTAAACAAAAGTCGTCAGTGGCAAAAGCGAATAGAATAGGTTGATAAAAGTTAACTGTGAGGCATGGCAAAGGCTGAAGAAAATCGAGTATTTAGTGTTATGTCCTTCGAGATGCTTCAGTTGTGCTTCTGGAGTGTCCAAACCATTCAAAAATAAATCCAATATTGCAAATGATGAGCGAAAGATGACTGAGGCAGAAGAAATAAACCGCCCGGTATTCAGCAAAAAAAGTGTTAGCTCTCATGCAAGGCTTCTCGATATCGCCTGTCCCTCTCCCACAAAACCATTGCCCGCGCCGCTCACCTTCAGCACGGGGTCATCGTCCAGTTCGTCGCTGAGCCTGGCCAGAGTGCGGCGCCGCGGCAGCACCACCACGTCATCCTCGTCCATCAGCAGGTACGGCATCAGCGGACTCGAGTAGGCCGGCAGCGAGACGGGAGTCAGCCGCTGGTGGGCCACCGACGGGATCCCGTGGCGCGCCTGGAGAGTCAGAGGGATGGAGTCAGAGGGACGGAGTCAGCGAGACGGGAGTCAGCCGCTGGTGGGCCACCGACGGGATCCCGTGACGCGCCTGGAGAGTCAGAGGGATGGAGTCAGAGGGACAGTGGAACCGAGTCATTGGGACGGAAGTCACCGGTCAGTGGGTGGGAGACAAGGAAACAGAGTCAGTAGGATCCAGTGGGACGGGACACAATGGACCAGTAGGAGTCAATGGGATGGAAGCCAGTGGCACGGGAGTCCGTGGGGCGGGTGTCAGCAGAAGTAAGAGGAAAAGAAGTCAGAAGGACGGTTGTGAGTAAGAGGAAATATAAGAGGGGATATGTATCGAGATGTAAAAACGGAAGCTCGCATTCATTTCACGGATTACGATAAAAAATTAATCGAGTTTCATAACTGCTTGTTAGGCGTCCTACAGCTGTTTTAACTGCATTTTGTTCCACATTTTGACAGCTGAGATCAGCTTGTCAACCAGCAAGCCTGGAAACACCAATCGTGCAGAATGATCTCCTGAGCACGGCATTCGATAAGCGGCTGATGTTCATCTACCCATAGCATCTCTATTCTCTAGCCTGACTACATTCAGCAGATTTAGTAGCTCTGTCGGTGCGGTGGTGGGGGGGGGGGGGGGGGACATTGGTGCCCACCAGTCCCCGCGGCGCCTCCAAAGCTTTGAACCGGTGCCAGCGAGCTGGCAGTGCCTGATCTTTGATCCCAAGAAAACGGTGATACAACGCCAACTAAAAGTCAGGGGAGACAGACTTTCAGTCGTTCTGCCGAGTTCGAAGACATGATTGAAATTTGAAAATAAAAAGAAGGTCTAAGCTAAACTGGCGTATACTTTCAAATAAGCGAAGATATGCAGCGCTGTGTCGTCTTATAATATTTTCAAGCAATCATAAATAAGCTTATATAACATACATCGTTGGCTCATAATACATGATCCCAGCATCATTGTTTGCATCCATGTTCGGTACCAATAGCTTGTTGCATCCACTATGACGGTCAAAAGATGCCTAGACTAAAGTTGATGGTTTACATCCATTGGAGACCGTTAGAGACTGTATATTTAGAGCCCAGTGGCACCCCTCCCTTGTATTGCGCAACTATGACTGAAACTGCATTAGCCGGGTAAATAATCGCATAAGAGTCTGTACACGGAAGACCGCTGGAAGACAATCTCACCTCGTCTCACCTTCCTTTGTGAGAACCGTTTCACTCACCTGTGTGAACTCACCCGGCAGACAGTCCTGTCTGTCTGTCTGTCTGCCTGTCCGTCCGTCTGGCGTCGACCCGAGGCGGGGTGCTAGGTCAGTGGCATGGTAGGCGAGGGGTGCAGAAAGGCACATTGGCTGTGAGGAGCAGTGGATGAGGAGAGGACAACCTTGGGCAGGATTCAGAGGAAAAGACAGTGAAAGCGAAATAAAAAGAGCCAAAGCTTACAAATATTGTTAAATTGTTACAAAGAAAAATAAGAAATAGTTTGTTTTTGGCCTGATTATATGATATGTCTTGGTAGACTAGCGATGTAATTCGTATGATGGCCTGGGCGTATTGTGCTGATGTACGAGTATGCATTAGATGTCTTTAGGCAGTTTCGTCCATGTTCTTGAAATGAATGAAATGCGCGAAATGCTGGTTATGCAGCCCAACAACTATGCCAGCGGCACGCTTCTCATACATATATTTATGCAACGGTTCATCTGGCCGCCTAAGCGTCTATAAGCTACTGGAATCAAGCAAACTCAGCAATATTCACTAGCTCAGTGGAGTTTCACTTGAAAAGCCAGCCAGATCCCCGACAGTGTGACAGTACCTACAGGTTTAGGTTGTTAGCTCTAAATGTCTACAAAGCAAACAAACGAGCAGCGGGAGCCGCCGTGGCGTTAGTAGCATGCAGAGAAGAAACAGAAAGGCGGGGGCCGGGCTAGGGAAGGGCCGGGGATGGAATCAAAAGTATCGGGGCACATTGGTCGTGGTCGACTCGACTACGCGCTCGACGCGCTTGACGACGTGCTCTCCAATGTCGCTCTGTGGAAACGGAGGAAGAAGAGTCTCACTGCGGGTGCCGGCCCGGAGCCGGTGTGGTCGCTCGCGCTCCCGGCTCGGCCAGTCTGACCAACAGGTGACATTCTGCCACGCACCCGTACTATGTCAGCGTCATAGGTCAGCGCGGCGCGGCCAGACGCGATTCTATCGCTGGCAGCTCGTCATTTACGCCAAAAGCACATTCCCGGCGCCAACAAACGGGGGCAGCAGCGCCGGTCTCACGCACTGGCACGCGCGCCGTCAACAGGCCGGCGGCCTTGAGCGGACGGGCGATGGCGGGAGACGGACCTGGCCGTTTGGGTCGCCGCCGGGCCGCCACCGGCTGACGGCGGGAGACGGACCCGCCGCCGGCTGACGGCGGGAGACGGACCCGCCACCGGCTGACGGCGGGAGACGGACCCGCCGCCGGCTGACGGCGGGAGACGGACCCGCCGCCGGCTGACGGCGGCCGATGCACGGCCTCGTTAGCGGAGGCGCGAGTCGATGGCCGCGTGACTGAGTGGCCGCCGGTGGTCCCACCGAGCGGCGTCGGCCAGCCGAGAAACGAACAGAAAAACAAACCGACAGTGGCCTACACAATTTTGGAGTCATCAGAAGAAGCTGAGCGTAAATGTTATAACCATTAACCTAGCAGAAAACTTAACTTAATTTTATAAGTCTCCAGTTATCTAACACCCCAGGGGCAGCAAGCATACATTTCCAATTTTCCATATCTTGACGATTACAGGCTGTTCTCGTGTCCCCAGATCCCTGTGACCAGCGGCGGCGGCTCCTTACCCTGGGCGCATAGGTGGTTCTGGGGCTGCTATCGTAGGTGGTGTACGTGTAGGTCCTGGGTGGCGGCACGTACCGGCTGGTGCGCACCGAGGGCGACATGTACGACGAGTGGTAGCTCCGACCCTGGCGGCAGGCGGCGCACGCTGTGGGAGGCGGTGGAGGCGCTGGGCGGCGCCGCAGCAGAGGAGGGCGCCCCATCCAACACGGCCAGGGTAACGGAGCGGTGGGCAGAGGGGCGCAGCAAAAACACTAGCTAGGCTATAGACGCTAAAGGCTAAAAAGATTTAAAGGCATTCATAGCTAAAGTACATCGCTAGGTGACAGTAGAACAAGAGTGCTTGATTCAGCGCGCAAGAAAGTTATTTAGTCATGTGGTAAAATGTGGCGTGTTGAAAAATTTTAATTGTCTTAAGTTTGGGCAAGCGATCATGCAAACAGGTGTATAACCAGCACTAGCCACGCTTGAAGTTAAAGTTATCATGATAAAGTATAATATACTGCCGTTATTTATTTGCAGGAAATCGCTGCTCAATAGAAAGTCACCGAAAAGAAAGACAATGCATATTTGTGAACACAATAACGGTGGATCTATAGCTATCTTAACTGAACAGCTTATGGTACGCCAGCGATTACATTACGCCAGCGATGCATTGACCTGACATTAAATTTTGGTAGGTATCGTCTTATTGGCTACGTTTCCATGACACAAGTTAAGCCGATTTTGCAAAATGGATTTCCTCCATCATAGCATTTAGGCAGCATTTGAAAACGTAAATAAAGGATTAGGTGCTACCTAAAACCATATATACGCTCTTTTTTGCTTAAGGTGAATAACTAGTATCCGAGGAAGAGGCACGTGAACATTTTCTAAATCGATTTAGGCGTGTCATGGAAACGTAGTGCTTGTCGAAGAGGACGTATTGAAGTCCGTTGAAGATCTTACAAGCAAGCAGCTTCAAAGCAGAAAAAGCTGAAAATATATACAGCAAAGCTTGGAGAAGTATTAAAATAGTTCAAAAAGTAGAAATAACAAAAGCTGTCTTACACTTCGATGGCAGGAGGACACCAAAGGAAGCAATTCTAGCATGAGGTGAGAGGTGTAGGCCAAAAGAAACATACCATTCAACATAACAATACTTTGAAGAGTATTCTAATTACATAAACACACTACAGGGTAACAAACACTCACAGCGCTGCAAATATAACAGGTAAACAGACAAACGAAGTAAAAACGTTCTCCAATAAAGTCAAGACGCGGGTGTACATACACAACACAAACCTGTGAACGGACACAAGAAAAATGATATAAAAATAACGGGGCTTCTTAAAAAGTAGCGTTGTAAATAGTCATCAGTGGTAGGCAGGCGAGCAGCCGCAGGTCCTAGTTCCTAGTCACGACTGAAGCCGCAGCCAACATCGGCCGGCTTGCACCAGAGCACAGGTGAAGTGTGGAGCCAGTGGCACATGAAGGGCGACACCAGCCCCGCATCGCATTTCTTCGTACTGCGCCCAGTAACAGCGGGCTTTGCAATTGGATCAGTATTGCGACTTGTGGATTGGATGAGTATTCGGGAAATGTGAATTGTGACAGTCATCAGCGTCTTTGTTGTTGGTAGCGATTAACAATAGTCTCGGTAGTACCTACTGTGTAAATATTTAACCTGAATAGTATAGGTATTCGGTGAAAATTATTGAATACAATTGATGCATTGGCCGGAATCCATATTCAGCGAGATAAAAGAATTCGGGGTTGAGTTCAGCAGTGTAGGTGATACTACCAGTACCTAAGGATATTATTTCATCCCATCAAAATAGTATTTTCTTACCGTACCAATTCGTAAGACGACTAAAAAGTGTGTCCATAATCCTGCAAAATGGATTCCAAGTAATCGCATTCGCAATAGGATCATTGTGTAAGCAGCAAAACGGAGAGCTAGCGAGGGGATTCACTTAGCTAGGGCAGATGCGTGGTGGTTGGTGAAGCATTTGACCATTCTGAATGTTTTCCTACCTAATGGCTTTATCTTTCCTTTGGTATTGGAGGCCTATTGCACCGTCTTCCTGTCAATTGTAAAGCGCAGTCCTCACTGAGCCTCTCGAAGCCTCTGACGACTGAATGAATAATCCATATCTGAATGAAGCCTGGGCTTTTGACACACAGAACTCGGGCGTTGCTGTCATCCGCCCGGCGCTCCGTGGACAGGTAGACTGTGCCGCAGAACATCCGAGTGATGCGGCACAGTCTACCGTGCCAGGTCCGTCCGCCAGGCAGACCGCGTCCCTGCTGCTCGAGTTTTGCCGTAGATAGCTGCTGCCTTACCAGGACGATCCAGTGGTTGAAGAAAAATATATTTGACCAGTTCTTCTGAACCATATGATAATTGTATAGATTTGTCATTTCGGCGCAATGCGAAGAAAGGCGATACGCGGCTGTGCACCGGAGTTGGTTGGGGAGCACGCGCGCGGCTCCGCGCTACCTGCAGCAACTGCTCCGGCGCAAAGTAGGGCCAGTAGTAGGGCCAGTACTCGGGGTCGAGGAAGTTCTGCGCGCGGATCATGTCCAGCTCGTCGAGCACCATGTGGGAGCCCATGTCCGTGTGGGTCAGATAGTAGACGTGCACCGGGTCGTAGTCACACAGCCAGTCGTAATGTTTGTTGAGCGGCTGAAAAGGTGCACACGTACTACGAGGTGCGCTGAGCTACCAATCGGCACATCAGCCCTGGCCTCTGATCACTCACACATCACAGTAACCTTACTTATATAGCAGTTCACACAAAATTGGCACTGGAATAATGTCACCATCGTTAGGTGCACCAGATTATTACTTTGAACTGACTGTATTGTTATCTTCTGCGGATGTAGTAGGAACTGTTTTAAATCAAATTAAATGCTGATGAAAATTATGTATTTTTACGTCATTATAACGTTGTTGATTCGCACTGTTCTACGCTCGGTGAACACTGCACAATGAAATGTTTCGACGATACTGTTGTGAAATGCGGAGCTCCCTCGCATCATCCTCACGCGACCAATACCGATGTTTTGATGGTTAACCGGGATGTCGAAATACATGACAGTTGGACCCCAGAACTCAAGTGTTTTATCACAATTAGATTAGATTAGATTTATGAATTGATTCTGATAATGGATGTTAGACGGTAGACACTATGGACGGTAGATTAGAACAAGACTTCGATTTATACACGTTTTGAATCCAATCACAACATCTGGCGACCGTGACAGGACTCAGGACTAGCGAAATGGAAACTTACATTGAAGTCGCAGCTAGACATGGATTGACAGGCGAAGCAGCGTTGACTTTCGCATGCAAACAACTAGAAAGAGAGGAGAGAAGACTGGAAAGAGAGAGGGAAAAGGAAAAGGAAGAGAGAGAAGAAAAAGCCAAGGAAAGAGATAGGGAAGAACGCGAAAAGGAACGAAAACATGAACTGGAGCTAGCAAGATTACGCGCCCCGTCGGAAACATCGGCGGACACGGAGAGGCCGAGACGAGGGACTGTTACGGGTCCCAAAATGCCCACGTTCGACGAAGAAAAAGACAAAATGGATGCCTACATCAAGAGATTCGAGCGCCACGCCCGGCTCAATGATTGGCCGGAGCACCAATGGACAGGGCATCTTAGTGCCCTCCTCACAGGAAAGGCTCTAGAAACATATTCCCGGCTTTCAGAAGAACAAGCGGAGCGGTATGAGGATTTAAAGGCAGCCTTGCTCGAACGGTATGGGCTAACATCAGAGGGTTACCGCCTGAAACTGAGAAATATCTTACCAGAGACAGACGAGAGCCCAAGTCAATTTTTGTCTCGTCTTGAGTCATACTTGGCCAGGTGGATCGATCTGTCGGGAACTGATGCTTCATACGAAGGTCTCTTCGATCTCATCGTGACTGAACAGTTCCTGGAAAGCTGCCCGGACTCCTTGGAAGTCTATCTCAAGGAGAAAGGATGCAAGGTGTCCGCTGACTTAGTCGAACATGCGGCGCAATATTTAGTCGCGCACGGTAAAACCTTGGAGTCTATGTTAAGACGATCAGTCGGCAAAAATATAGCATCAGCCACCGCCCTTGCGACCAGTTCTGGATCTCTTGGTCAGACATGCCTGTTCTGCGAGTACCAACATGCCACGAGCAAATGTCGGAAAGCTAAGCATATGACCATAACTGACCGGCGAGATCGTCTGATTCGAGCCGGCGCATGTTTTTGGTGCTTAGAACCCCGGCACCGCGCAGCGGAATGCCCGGCCAACAGACCCAGGTGCGAGCGGTGCTCGGGCCCCCACCACTCGTTGTTGTGCGAACGATCCGCATCTCGGACGGTCAACACAGCACAACTCGAGACATCAGCGACGGAGCCGTCCTCGAACCCGACGGTAATAGCCGCAAGCGCTAGCGGAGCGAGCGCTGGAGGCAATGGGGTCATTCTAATGCAGACGGCGCGGGTGTATGCAATGGGCGAAGCGGACCGAAAAGTAGTAAGGGTAATGCTTGACACCGGTAGCAACCAGTCGTTTGTGACATCCGCCGTGGCCGACCAGCTTCACTGCCAGCAGCTGGCCCTCGACGACATGAACGTGCAGTCGTTCGGAGGTGGGCAGACGAAGCAAAAGATGAGGAAGGTGCAGATATCACTAAAAGGCCTCTGTGACGGAACCCCACCTCTGGCGATCACAGCCTATGTCGTGCCGACGATCTGCAGCTCACCACCGAGAGCGGAGCCGGCGATCAGACGTCACGCTCACTTGAAAGGACTGCAGCTGGCTGAACCGGTGACACTGGAAGGCGAAGATCACACCATCTCCGTACTGATTGGACAGGACTACATGCGGGAAGTGATCGACGGCCGCATGAAGATCGGAACTGCCGGGCCCATCGCGCTGGGCTCGCGATTCGGCTGGATCATCTCCGGTCCCTCCGGCTGTGGGAAAGCAACTCAGGCAGCGACTTCCAACTTCATCAGAGCGGAGAAGGCCGAAGACCTCTTACAAGACCTCTGGAGCCTGGAGAAGGTAGGAATTAGTACCGAGGAAGCCGATGGTGGAAAGGACCGCATTCGCTGCGACGATGAAGTTAAACGCTCTTTTGAAGAGACGCTGGAGCGCCTACCAAACGGAAGGTATCAAGTCTGTTGGCCTTGGAAGGAAGGGATGAGAGCCTCCGTCCCGACGAATGAAATACTCGCGAGTACGAGGCTAAATGCCTGTGAAAGGTCACTTAAGAAGAAAGGACGGCTGAACGAGTATGATAACGCAATCCAAAACTACTTGGATGACGATCACGCGAAGAAGGCGCCAACTGTACCCGACGGGCCAGTGCATATTTTAGCTCATCAAGCTGTCTACAAAAAGAGCAAAGTGCGGGTAGTTTTCGATGCTGCAGCTGGACAACCAAGTGCCCTGAACGATCATATCAATGCTGGACCCAACCTGATAGCCGATCTCACCGGCCTTCTCATTCGCTTCCGGTTCAGACGAGTGGGTCTCGTAGCTGACCTCGAGAAGGCATTCCTGCAAGTGGCACTGCATCCAGCTGAGCGGGACGTCACGCGCTTCCTATGGAGGGAAAGAGCGACCGATCCTGTCCCGACGACTTACCGGATGACAAGAGTTATCTTCGGCGTAAATGCGTCCCCGTTCCTCCTCCAAGCCACCATCAGGCATCACCTGAAGCTCTACGAACAGTCCGACCCCGAGCTGGTGACATTGCTGAAGCGAGACATATACTGTGATGACCTTATCACTAGTGTCGACACGGAAGAGGAGGCGGAGGAGGTCAAAGCTCGGACACAGTATATCTTCCTTGATGCAGGGATGGTCATGACAAAGTGGGACAGGAGTGCCTCGGGTGAAACGGCTGAAAGGAATATCGGTGATTGTGGGGAAACTGACCGGAAGGTACTGGGGGTGACCTGGCAGCCGGCTTCAGACGTTCTGGAGATGTGCACACGCACACTGGCAGAGTACGCTGCGGCGTTGCCGGAGACCAAGCGGACCATCCTGAAGATCGCCGCTGCGTTCTATGACCCGCTTGGCTTGATGGCGGCTTTCTCTGTCAGAGTCAAGATGCTCCTGAGGGCCCTGTGGAGACAAGGTCTGGACTGGGACGAACCAATCACGTCAGAGTCACGATTCCAATGGAGAAAGTGGCTTGCAGAGCTAACGCAGTTCGTGGCCTTCAGGGTTCCACGCTTCTACGGGCGACATGACGAAGTCTTCCAGTTACATGTCTTCTGTGATGCCAGTAAAGACGCTCTCGCCGCAGTAGTGTACATTCGCAGCAGTACTGATGCACCCGTCCAGGAAACGGCACTGGTCATCTGCAAAACACGACTCGCGCCGTCACAAGGCCTATCAATTCCCAGACTAGAACTTACTGCGGCGCTCATCGGAGCGCGTCTCCTAACCTTCGTGAAGAAGCACCTGCCAATCGCGCCGTCAGCAGAGTTCCTCTGGACGGACTCATCAGTCACCTTGCACTGGATCCGAAGTAATGCACTGAGGTGGGGAACGTACGTTCGGAACAGAGTCCACGAAATCCAAGCACTGACCTCACCTGACGCCTGGAGGCATTGCCCAGGGGTGGACAATCCCGCAGACCTGCCATCTCGAGGAGCATCATCGTCAGCACTGGCAAATGACCTGTGGACACGTGGCCCCGTGTGGCTACGCATGCCTCACGCACAGTGGCCGGCACGGTATGAAGATGAGGAGGTACCAGCTGACTGCACGGTAGAGCAAAAGAAACAAGAAGTGAGCGTCAACGCGTGCTCCACCGCGGAAGATGTCGCTGGAATCGGTCAGCTGGTGCCACTGGAGAACTACAGCTCCCTGAAACGTCTGCATCGCGTCACCGCCTGGGTCATTCGCTGGACGAAGAAGGCACGGCGAGAAGAAGACACGGCGGGAGAACTCACCCAGGAGGAGATCCGGAGAGCTGGCGACCTATGGGTTGCACAGGCTCAGACCGACGCATTTAAAGATGAGAAAGCAAGGCTTCAGAGCGGACAAGATGTTCCCGGGACTTCAGATGTCTTCCATCTGAATCCGCATCTAAACAACGGGTTCCTGAGAGTGACCGGCCGTCTCCAAGAATCAGAACTGACTGCACAAGAAAAGTACCCGCTGATACTGCCCAGCAAACACCGCTACACCAAGCTGGTCATTCTAGACCTGCATGAGAATCTCTGTCATGCAGGGATACAGCAGACAATGTTCGCTCTCCGATCCCGGTTCTGGGTACCCCGGAGTCGCCAGACAGTGCGCCAGACCATACATGGCTGTGCAAGATGTCGGGTGTTTCGCCTGAAGCCACTGTCACAGGAGAGGGCGCCGCTTCCCAAGGAGAGGGTATGCGGTGGCGCACCCTTCTCGCGCATCGGTGTCGACCTGGGTGGACCCCTGTACTTCAAAGATGGCGAGAAATCTGAACCGATGAAGGCCTACTTCGTCCTCTTCACCTGCACTGCCGTCCGCGCCGTCCACCTGGAGCTTGTGGAAACGCTTTCGACAGAAGACTTCCTGGCGGCCTTCGAGCGGTTCGTGGCTCGTCGTGGAAAACCCACAGTAGTTTTCAGCGACAACGCCACAAACTTTCGAGGAGCCGCATCCCGCTTGACCCATCTAGGCGTGACCTGGAAGTTTAACGTGC